AAAATAACAAAGATGATAATTTAATGTTCTTTACCTATTACAAAATACCAAAGACGATAATTTAATGTTCTTTACCTATTACAAAATAACAAAGATGATAATTTAATGTTCTTTACCTATTACAAAATAACAAAGACGATAATTTAATGTTCTTTACCTATTACAAAATACCAAAGATGATAATTTAATGTTCTTTACCTGTTACAAAATAACAAAGACGATAATTTAATGTTCTTTACCTGTTACAAAATAACAAAGACGATAATTTAATGTTCTTTACCTATTACAAAATAACAAAGATGATAATTTAATGTTCTTTACCTATTACAAAATACCAAAGACGATAATTTAATGTTCTTTACCTATAACACAATAAGAAAAGCACAATAAATCTTCTCTAACTGTCACAAAGTTACCAAGACAAACGTCAGGCAACCTGGGGAAATCAGGCGCTTGTCAAAACAATGAAATAAAAGAAAACAGCATTTTTCTGGGTGTTGGGCAATTTTTTTCAAATGTTCTATTTTTGACGCAACACTTTTTCTGTCCTTTTAAAAACACATTTCTCTAGTAGATGTTACCAAGAAACATTCACTAAAGGCTCAAAAAATGTAAATTTTCACTTTCCAAAGACTCTCACGCTTTGGAAGTCACCAAACATTGGCGGCCATTTTCTTGCAAGTTTTACCTCTCATACCAGGCGACGCTACCACCTTCAATCGCATGCTATATCTGGACTTCAATTCCAGATAGAGGGGTATTTTTTTTGGCGAAATGCAAGACGAACGAACAAGCTTTATGATGATATCAATAACTCCATATCCCCAAAAATTGACGAGCGCCTGTTTCCACCGCTTCGTGACTCAAATGTTCTTTACTTATACAAAATTTTCTTGACAAATATTCTTTACTTACTGCAAATTTTTTAGACAAACTTTTTTTTACCAAATTTTTATTCTGATTTTTCTCCAGCTCCGAGTGGGAACACCATCCCAGCTCGCCTGAGCCAACAGGGGAACAAACTGCGCATCAACTTCACCCCGCTGGAGGTGGGCTCCCACAAGGTCCATGTGTCTGTCGGGGATTCCCCGGTCAGCGGCAGTCCCTTCACCTGCAACGTGTACGACCCCAGCGCCGTCAGGATCGTCGACATTGACAGGACGCCCAAGAAGGAACGGGAGATTGGGTTTACAAGTGAGTGCCCGTGAAATGTGATGATGAATACATGAAAATTTCAGGGGAAAAAAATAATGGCAGGGTCACATTTTGGTTATAAAAAAAATGTTTCTTATAAAGTTTGGGACTTCATAGCGACTGTAATACCTCACTTTTCAAAATGGTGTATGGTGGACTTTTACCTTAAGCAATCAATATCATAGAGAAAGATGTAAAATTTTGTCCGAATATTTAACATGGACTCTGCTGTTGTCCTCACTTTGCGTAAATTGTGGTTGAATAGAGCCCCCATGGGAGTATCAAAATACTAAAAATAATTCTTTTTAAAAACCAAACCAGCTGATCGTTAATGTGTGGATGTGCTTCTCTTTACTCAAACAAACAATCTCTTCCTTTGTTGCTCCCTACAGTCGACAGTTCCATGGCGGGGGCGGGCACGCTGGAGGTCCTGGTCACCCACAAAGGTCAACCGGTGCGTGCCGAGTGCCAGCGTGTGGGCGAGGGAAAGTACACCTACACCTTTAAACCCACCCAGGTCGGACGCTATGAGGTCAAGGCCACCTTTAATGGTGACACAATTCCAGGTAAGGCAGTTAAAAATATGTATTATTATGATGAATGGTAAATATAATACAGGTATAATATAGAAATGTATAATAAGAAACCCCCAGATATTTTTCATAAGAAATGTTGGTCGAAACATACTTGGACAACCACCATATATATATATATCTACTTGCGTATTTCTTGTCAACTTCTTTTCCTGTGTCATCACCGGTTCATGATATCGTAACACGAGTTGTCGGTTCTAAGAAAGGGACACAAATTGATGCTTCTGCTCACTGCTCATCATCTGATGCCATAGATTTTTAATGTATGTTGTTCTGGAGGTCGGCTCTCCGCACGCACATGTTCACCCTAAAGTGTTCACAACGATCTCTATTTCGACTGCTTTGTATTAGGCTTGGTCTCACGCCACTTGAAAAGTGAGGTGTGAAGGAGTCTGACACTGAGCAGTCAGTTCGTTCTTTTCTTATTTTATTTCACCTTAATTTCAATACTTTGTTGGGTTTTTTTTTTTAGTTTTGCTTTGTCAGCTTTGCATATCATTTATGTGTCTACTTAAGTAATTTTGCATATTTTTTTTTCAAGAAACATAAGTAACTGCATTGTTCCCTGATTTACAAGGGGGTGTAAAGAAAAGTTAAGTCAGTTTTTTTTTTTCGGATTAGAACGATGAATGATTTTAAGGTGCTTTGTGAAATTAAAAAGTAGGCCACCAAATTGACAGAAAAATTAATATTTGTCTGACTTTCCTTCCATCTTTTTGTACACGCGTCTTCTTTCTTATCCTCATCTTATCCTTAATGTTCTATCTATTTGTACATGTGACTTCTTTCTTATCCGTAATGTTCTACCTATGTGTGTGTGCGTCTTCTTTCTTATTCTTAATGTGTGCCCCAATGGGTTGAAGTTTATCCATTTGCTATGGAGAATTTGAATTTGATTTCCCAGATGCAAACTTTTTAAAAAAGATCTCTATCTGTCTGCTGGGCTACCGTACATATCTTGGTCAATCCAGATTGGTCCTGACAGGCTGGTTAGAAGCAGTCCTAGTAAATGATCTTTGGGGGGGAGGGGGGGAGGGGCATAAATCATTTGTGAGGCATTGTGATGAAATCAGGCGCTCGTCGAAATAATGAAATCAAAGAAATCGGCACTTTTTTGGTGCATAGCCAATTTTTTTCTTATTTTCTTTTTTTGGCTCAACACCTTTTATGTCCTTTCAAAACACATTTTTGCATGGATTTTACTGAAAACCATTGAATAAAAGCCCAAAAAATGTAAATTTTCTCAGTTTCAAAGGACTTTCAGGCTATGGAAGTTTCCAAACTTTGTCTGCCAGTTTCTCGCTAATTTTGCTTCTGAAACCAGGCGACCCTGTCCTCCTTCAGTGTCAAATATTTTGACTTTTATTCGGCATATATGGATATTTTTTCTTTCACAAAAAAATAAGGCAAATGAACAGACTTTAAGATGATACCAGTAACTTATATTTGTGCAAAAATTGACAAGCGCCTGATTCCACCACATCATGACACATTCACAACGTAACCAACCTGTGGGGCATCTGTCAGGAATGTGACCTGAGAAGTGTAATGTGTGATGGAAACAGCCGACCTCAGATAGGAACAATTCATCCGTCCTCGGATAAAATGAACTCATTATACTTCAGTGTGTTTTTATATGGACATAAAAGGTGTTGAGCCGAAAAAACCAAAATTGGATAAAATTGCCAAAGTGGTGGAAAAATGCCTTTTTCTTCTATTTCATTATTTTGACGGGCACCTGATTTCACCACGATGCCTCACATGTATTATCTTTCTCCCTTTCGGGTTGAACTCACATACTCTGTGTGCAAGACACAGAGCCTAATCATGGTACAACAGGTACAGATATCTGAAAATACATTTAACATTCTCTTTGCTTTTGAAGACTATGACAGAACTTCAGGTCAACCGTAAGCTAATAATTCTATAAACTGAATAGGTGAAACCTGTGATCTTTTTCCAAAACGTAGAATCAGTTAAGCATACTTATGTCTGTGCAATTGTCCTTTTGGAGTCCTACCTGCCCACATTAGGTTCCTCTCTACACCTCAGGTTCCCCACTGATCATCGATGTGGAGGAGGACACGCCCACTTTCATCCGTATAAACTTCTCTAGTGTGGAGCCCATGAACGCCAAGGGCCGCAACTGGTTCTTGCTGCACATGAGCGGCCGGAAGATTGACCGGGACATGCTCAACGTGGTCATTCTAGGTTGTGTGACATCCCACTCTGCTCCTGCACGCCCTCCTACGCTCCCCACGGCGGTTATATCAGCCGACGTAGATGTGGGATGATGGTCTCGCTGATTAGCATGAGGCGCTGGGATATGTTACCATGGCGATGTGTCTACGTAGATCTGCTGCCTAGAGTTGGGGCATGTTGGGAAGAGAAGCTGTTCTCTACACTATAAAATATATAGTTATTTCCCCCCCACCCTACTCCTTCCCCCCCATCCCCTCTAGGGTTGCATGAAGAGTGTATCTCCCTCTGGCAGACATCACATTCCCTGGGGAATATTATTGTACATGTGTGTCATCCTTGTTTTGCATCGTCCCGCTTTGACGTGTGTGAACTTTGCGCATTTACAGTTTCTGCTATTACCTAGGCTACTTCAGAAAGTCTACATTTTTCAATATTGTCTAATACAAATTAATTATATATCAATATTGCAACAGTCAGTTCGATTTTGATTAAACTCAGGCTGCTTTTAATATTCAGCAGTTGTCGCTATCATTGTAAAAAGTAGGCTTATAGTATATTTTCAGGGACATAGATCTTGAGAATCACCAAAATCTTTCTTATGACTGTGGGTGAGAGAGGCCCGGTTTAATTCAGCTGTATTTTTTTTCTTTAGCAAAGGTAGAATTTTCAAGGGCTTACAATTTCATACAAGACAGAAAAAGATATAAGATTGTGTAAATCATGGTAAAATAATGTCTTTCGACATTTTGCCTGAATAGCAACCCTTCTTTATGTTGACAGCATCAACTGTTAGGGCTTATTTGTATTGCTGTGTGTTCATTTTGTCACTAGTTGATTCACCCAATACTCACATTTTGTCAATGTGTTCTAATATGTATACATCATTCTTCTGTACGCTTTATGTATATGTATATATCAAAACGGTTCTGTCTGGAGCATTTCCTGCATGTGTGGTATCCGGGGGCAACGTACAATAGCTGTACATTGTATGGTCTTCACCTGTGCCTGAGACCCATGTTTAAATCATTTATAGCCCCACATTACCCTTTTGTCTGGAGAGGAATTTTAACAAACTGATTAGACCAATGTAGAAATATTTATTAGTAAAGATATATTTTCTTTTTTCAAAATGGAAAGAAAATGTAACTATTGAAATTGTAATTTGTAATAATTCAGCAACAACAAGGGAGTGTTCAGTAGCAGTTGAAACAATGATTGTCTATTTTAACATTAAAAAAGAAAAATGTAATTTGTAAAAATTCAGCAACAGCAAGGGAGTGTTCAGTAGCAGTTGAAAAGGTGATTGTCTATTTTAACGTTAAAAAAGAAAAATATTAAGCAGAACACTTTCTTTGCCGTTGCCACTAAATCAAGACATGGGGAATAAAACAGAAACCAAAGAGAAATACATACTTCAGTTGGCTTTTTCCTCTTAAGATCTTGTGTAGAGCCTCACTTTCTCAAAAAATCAAGGGAATTTTTAAAATTGGAATATTTCTGTATTTTCTGTGCCATGATAGCCTCCTTGCCTGTAACATGGGTTGTGATGTTTTATGTTCTTGTCGTTATCACATCTGTTGCTCCACGCTTGCTTGAATAGATGCATGAAATAAGTGTTGGGGTAGCATTATTCATACACCATGTTAACATACCAGAACGCATCTCATATGAGGACTCTAAATAAAGAAAAAAATCCACATAAAGTCACACCTTCAACTTTCTGAAAAATAACTTTTTTAACTCGTGGACTTCCCATTTTCTGCAAGGAGACATTATGACTTTCGAGAGATATCCGGTATTTCTTTTCAGGTTAGTCACACTGCAGCCATTTTACACAAAGAGCATAACTGAGAATACCTGTATTGCAAAATTTGGCCATGTCAGTTCTATCTTTGGAGTCCGCGGGTCATAAAAGGAAAGTTGGCTCTTTGATAGAGTGAGGTGCTCGCTATGTAGGCCCTACAACCATGATGTGATGTGCAAAGCCAGATACAATTGAGCCTGATGCTTTTTGTGAATATAGTAAATGTTTAGTCAGCATCAGTATAGTAAGGACACACCTTAAGTTCAGTCGATGAAATAGTTGGTTATGGTGTGAGGATGACTGGTTCAAATCCCAAATGGGGCATGTTTGAACTGGGGTCTACAGGGAGTTTTCTTGATTCTCCACCTACTTTGCTTGATCCTATCAGAGATAAACTTTGAATTCGAGGTCCTGCCTTTTATATAACTTTGTAGTGTTGGAGGGGACGTAGTTGACAATATAAAGTACCTGGACAAATGATGCATGGCAAAAGTGCTTGGCACAAATATTTTAAAATCTATTTATTTATTGATTGTGTAATAGACATCTTATGACATTATAATGAGTTAAAATATTAATATAATTTCATTTTAAATTCATATTACGAGTATAAAGCTTGAGAAGACTTATGATGAAATTGTGACAATTGTTGTTCGAGGCCTCGAGGATGCACCGCTTTTGTATGATTAGGATGGGACGACATTTTGCAAAAGTGTGGCACCTGTTTTATATTTTTTATGCTTTAAATTATTGATCCAGCTTTGCGTGAAATGTAGATGTTATGATGAAGAGGGTTACTCTTCCATTGTGTACTTTTGACTTGATGAGATGACTGTGCTGTAAAGTGTTCTTTGATAAGAGGAATTCTCATGTTATCTTTTGCAGTATAGTCTACATTTGTTATTTGTATTGCTCATGGAACAACTAGATATTTGATATGATCAGAATTGATTGTATGTTTAAATATATAAGGTTTGAGTGTTGTAAAACAAGTTTTTATTATGGTATGAAAGTCTTGCTTGAAGTTTGAATCAACATTAGTTGTTTTCGCGCCAAGCTTATCCATTACCTTCTTTGTTAATTAAGAGTGTTTTGCAAAACTTTGCTTTTTTGACTGTTTGTGATACTATTTTCGTCCACTTAATCCTGTATTTGTTCATGTCTTTTCCATCTCTTTCTTTTGTCAGAATGAATTGTCTTTGTGGCATTCAATTTTTGTTCAATTAAAACCCAGCCCATTCCACTGGGTACCTCTGGGAGATCCTACTTCATTTCTTTCCCCAGCCATCTCAATACCGGCCTTGCTTTTCCCAAACAATAAATGGCCATTATTGTGTCAATGTTTTCTCTTGACACAAACTCAAACTTGCCTTTTCCCACACTCTCTCACCTTTCTTCATAACACTCTCCTATTTGTTCAGATGTAACACTGGCCAAATATTCTCCTGTAACACTGGCCAAATATTCTCCTCAGCATCGTATATTTGAACTATTTATTCAGGGTCTACCTGTCTCTTGTTAGCGTGGCAGTGCATGTGGGACAGACTGGGGTAGTTGGTGAAAAAGTGAAGTGTGGGGGG